TCCATGGCCAGATAAACTGCTTATATATGTCAATCTTATAACAGAACATTTCTATTTAATATACTATTTCTTAGGGAAAGTGAAGGACAAAAAAATATCTCAAATGTTCCTGGGAAAACAGGAAAAAGAAGAGGAAGACCCCCAAAACGGAAGAAACTACAGGAGGAGATTATAGTAAAGTAAGAAAATGTTGTTAGTCTGTGACAGTCATAGATCCCCTTTGCTGAAAGAGGGGACTTTAATTTCACTTGCTCCTTCATCCTTAATTTTCACTCATGGGCATGGAAAAGACGTGGGACTTATATTATGGAGACCTGGATTAGAAAGCTAATGAAATTACCAGGTGTGCACTAGGGAATCAGGAAGCCCTAGCTGCATAACCTCTAGCAAATACCTGTTTTTTTATTGGACAGTGGAAATACTAATAGTAATGATGATTAAATTGAACCAAGATAGTGAATGTGATAGTGTAACAGACTGAAAACTATGCATGTGCTCACTCAGTATGTATTAACTTTTAAAATTTGTTATGCTACACATTTTTTCATAGCGTGGAGCAAGTTAATTCTGTGATTGTTGACTAATTATCATTTTAAACGAATTATATATCATAGATGAGTTTAAGAGTTAATTCTTTGCTGTTAGGGAAATTTCAGTAGCAAACATACTTTATTTTGTTTAGAATACAATTTCCTAAAGTAAAGGCAAGATCTTAAACATTTTTAAAGTCTTTATATTTAATTTTAGTAAAGAAAAAGATTCTGTTGCATTTGAGAGATTTTATTCTATATGTCATTACCTTTTAGGAAATTCCATCATGTGAATCTTAATAGAAGAGTTTTCAGAATCTGACCTATACTATATAAATATACTTTTACTTAAGGATCAGATCTGTCATTTTACACCTATGGAAGATAGGTCATTCTTAAAAATTCTAATAACAGAGGCCAAACTGCTGCTTCTCTCTACAATCAGAATTGATATTTTTTATGCTTAAGAATCAACGTTCCACTTTCCAGAAAATTGACTACACATTGTAGCTTTCTTTTAACCAGTGTTTGAGAGAAATACCTTAAAATAATGTCTGTACACACAACATGTGTTTCTAGATTTTGTTAGCAATCTATACCTCCTTATATATTCAAAAAGCTATTTTATACCTATCTCCATTTCCCTGTAAGTGAAATTAAAGTACTGTAGTGTTGAGAATATAGAATCATTTTAACAAGCATACGTGGACTTGTGCTACCCTCTACTGGTGATTTTATTCTTTAGAGCTCTGTATTCAATACAATATTTAAATATTTTTAAATTAGATAAAATTTAAAATCCAGTTCCTCAGTCACACCAGCCACATTTCAAGTGCTCATTAGCCGCATGTGGCTTGTGGCTACCATATTGGACAGCAACAACATAGAACATTTTTTATTCTCACAGAAAGTTCTTTGGAACAATACTGCTTTAAGTAATTGATTACAGAGAATGTCAAGAATGATTCAGGAATACAAATGACAATGATCCTTAACACTATTGTGCTGAGCATGTCTGTGTTTTATAATTTATTCCCCAACATACCTGTGAGGTAAGCATCATTAATAGCTCCATTTTATGGGACTGTTAATTAACGTTCCTGAGGTCATAAGGTAAGTAGCAAGTCTTGTTCTTAACTTGTGTTCTTAACCTGTACCTTCTGTGAGGTTATATTAAGTACACCTATCTTCAGCATAGCTCTGAATCAGGGATGAGGACTTTGGAATCTCTACTGTCCTTTTTTCCTTGGCATTTAACTGTTAACACTTAACTCCTCTGATTTAAAAAACATGTTTTACAAGTTAGTATTTTCCTATGATTGGTGATGTTACCATAACAGTGGGTTCCATGTATCAGTTTTCCCTCTATACCAACACACCTGCAACCTAGTGTTCCTTTTTTTCAATAGAGTCATCCTGTCTAACATTGCCTTCTCCATACACACACTCCTTGTATTATTAAGTTAGTTGGGTCTCCCTTATGGGGGAAACATGAGACAATTTTGGACATGTCTTTAATTGTTACCTCCTTTTCCTGTGTTTCAGTGAAAAGCAGGAAGAAAATTCCTTGGCATCTGAGCTACAGACAAGAAATGGTAATGACCTCTGCTGGAGTTTTTGGAAAGGATTATGTAAATGCAATTGATTTACATCATGATAGTGACTGTCATTTTCCAGTTATACAGCAGTTAAGATTATTGCAGTGGCAGTCTAACTAGCCTCCTTGCCCTTCGTCAGTTCTCTCTTCCTTGCACTTTATTCTGTGCCTATCTCTTCTTCTGACCTGATAACTTGAGATCAGGAGTAGGTCTTTTCACTAGAGATTTATTACCTGGCCATATTATAATAGATACCCAAACATTTGGATGATAGCAACTTCTTTGGATGAGAGCCATCTTGTCAGTGTAAAATGCTTTACTGCATAAGGGAGTATACTGATTTCCTATCTAGATTTCAATTATGTAATCTCAGTTACATAATTTGAGGGGTGGCAGATGTCGGTTCATAGTATCTCAGTGTCAGTGAAATGAGGAAGACTTCGAAAGCTCAGATGAAAACTGTCTGCATAGAAAAGTAAATACATTTAACCTGTCTACGGCCGTGCCACCCTAAACAAGCCTGATCCCGTCTGATCTCGGAAGCTAAGCAGGGTCGGGCCTCATTAGTACTTGGATGGGAGACTACTTAGGAAAACCAGGTGCTGTAGGCGTAAAAAATAAAAAAATAAGGATTGTAAGCTGACAAGGTCCTTGCAATCTGTGAGGTCAACCAAGGGTTGCCTTGCCTAAAAAATAAATAAATAAAAATAAAATACGTTTAACCATTTTTAGGATGTTCATGTCTGTCTTATGAAAGTCATAATAGTTTTATTTGTATAACCTTTAGTCAGTGTTCACTATTACTTGTAAACAGTTGATAGTAACAGGATAATCAGAAGTATGTATTGTCAACCTTAAAAGTAATAGGTCTTTTTTTTTCTGATCCCTGGTTTTGGTCATGACCCAGGGTAAAAATGAAAAAAATTGGGGAAAAGGTCTTAAATTGTTTGATGAAACCATTCCTTTCTTTTCCAGGGTCCCAGGGGCCAGGTCAAGGTACTTGGTGGCTCCTGTGCCAAACAGAGGAAGAATGGAGACAGGTCACTGAGAGTTTTCGGGAGAGGACCTCCCTTCGAGAACGGCAGCTCTATAAGCTCCTCAGCGAGGACTTCCTGCCTGAGATCTGCAACATGATTGCCCAGAAGGTATGCAAATGCAAAGGGGTGATTACTACCCTCTGTATTAGGTGTAAAGCTGTATTATTTAAGGATTATTCATTAGTTGTTGAATACATTTATTGTCTCCTGAAAGTGGTACAGTCTTCCTCCTCTCTCAGCTGGAGTATTAAAATGGGACCTCACCCCACTCATTCTGCTTCACTACAGGCCACATAATTGAGTTCTTCTTACCTAAGAAGTTCTCAGGGCTCCCCACACCCCAGTACTTCCAGTGGCTCTTCACAGTCTGCTACTAGCTTTCCTTCTCCCATAATAATGCTCACAAAACGTTCCCTGAGCCCCCAAGTTGTGTCTCATGTCACCCTGTGCCTGCCTCTCTCCTCTCCTCTCCCCTCTACACACAGATATTTTTATCATCATCTTACTGTCTGTCTCTTACCCATTAAGCAACTAGCTCTGAATAGTATTTGTCTTTTTAGCTCCAGTGCCAGCTCTTTTCCCACCTGAGCTCAGTTTGCCCTTTACTCCAACTTCAAGACAACTTGTAGTTTCACGTCCTGTTTACAAGTATATACTTTCTAATTCATGACTTCTTCAAACATCTTTATTCCTCTACTTCTCTACCCATTAAAACACTACTTTTTCAAAAGCCTTACGTAGAAGTCATTATCTCCATGAGCTGTCCCTTATTTCTCTCAGTCTCAGGATTGTCTTCTCTAACATGTTTCTTCATTCCTTACTTCTTTCCATTGTGAGTTGTTTAAACTTTTCAGATAAATGACCATGTCTTACTCATTGTTTTAACTTCCACAGCACCTAATGTAATGCCTTTTCTGTGGTAGATGCTCAATAATAATTTAGTTTGCTTATTTCATTTCCATAAATCCAATACATGTGAAGAAGACAGAAAAATTTGTCTACCTGCCAATGAAATCTGAAGAGAAAATATTTATAAATTATTTCTGTAGTATCTCCAGGGAAGTACAGAATTACAAATAAATTACTTAATTTGTTGTGAATTTAATGATGTTTCTAACCTTTAAGCAGGTTGATGCTCTAGGGAAAATTCTAGTAAGTCACCTTTTGCTAATAGCAGGAACTTAGAGTTTCTCAGGAATAACATTTTCATGGATGAGCAAAAGAGTCTGCATTTCCCCATCGATATACTTAATTCTTCATACTATAATTACATTTAGTTTTTGTCATCTGGAACTCACTGACAATTTATCCAGGAATTTTTAATACATAATGTAATTTTCTTAAAATAGCTATAATGCAGTGATGGTTTTATAACCTTACATGACCTTGTATGTGACTATTGATATGACTAATGGTGGTACATTAAATCATAAGACATATCTAATTGGCTTTTATAATTTCTTCATTTATACTATAATATTCAACCTAAGATTTTGTGGGTCAGAGGAACTAAGAAAATATACAAGCATAAAATTGATGGTTTTGAAACAAAAATTGCTAAGAGATGAAAAAATTAAAATAAATATAATTTTTAAGAACCATAAAATTAGGAACCAAAATAAAAAATAACAAATTTGGTATTTCCAAAGAAATATCAGTTCTAAATATGCAAACTTTAGTAAACTGAGTTGTCAATCACAAAAATAAGAGCATCTAAACTGTTCAGTAGAAAACCTTAGCAGACCAAGTAATTAAGAAAGATATTTTTCACAAAAGGATCCCATCAAAAGCTCCGGAATCATTTGGATTTAGTCGTAGGTGCAATTTTCTAAACCTTCAAGAAAAGGTAATTTCCAAACATTTCAACAGTGTAGAAAGAAATGGTTTGGGTACTTGTTCGTTCAGCTGTAAATATCTTAAATACACTATATTTGTTCAGTAATATAAATGTTAAGTCCTTAATACTAACAAATACAAGCTATCCGTTCACCAAAAATACCTTGTAACCTATCAGAGTTAAGCCTAAATTCTGTAATGCTCATATTTTTGTCTTGTAGGTTTTGTATAGTATAATATAACATAAAAAAGAAGAGGAAGATTTTTTTTTTTCATGTTTTGCCTGGAGGAATATAAATCTGCTTATAAAGTCTATTAATTAGAATTTAGTGATAACTAAGACTTCCTGCGTCAGAATCACCTTGCATGCTTATTAAAAGTTTAGATTCCCGCCCATGTACCATTCCCGATCCCCGTCAGAACCGTTGGAGGTGATGTGTATTCTTTAGTTGTAGAAGCTGTTCAGGTGATTCTTGTGCATCCTAAAGTTTAAAACCCACTGAAAATAAACCCATTTATTGCAGCAATAAAACAAATTTTGGTATGACCCTAATTAGAACTGTACATAGTCAATAAGAAAAAGCTACAAAATGATTCGTGGATAGGGATACATATTTTTAAAGTCGCGTGTAAATCTGTTAAGACTTCTTTGTTTCTGAATGGAAGAGTAAATGTACAAGCCAGCATTCACCAAGATAAATTGAAATTTATTATAACCTCAGCCAAATTCCAGCATAGTAAAAATTTGCTATCAAAATAACAGGTTAATGTAAATATTGTAAGGCAGGAACAGTGGTATGCCTTGCCCTACAATGTATTATCACATAAATCACATTAGAAGCGTTCTCAAGGGGCCTTCATTTAATAACCAAACTGTCATAAATGATTTGCTCAGGGCAATACAGATATATCATCTCTTCATAATCTTTGCTCAATTTTAGCATTCAACTGTTGAGTTATATGTTCATCAGTAGTTAGCTGTAATATTTTTACAAACTAGTTTGTATTCATTTTACTTTTTACTGAATTTATGCAATTAAATATTATGAGACCAATAAAATATAAGCATAAAATGTTTATTAAAAGGTTTTATTAAAATCATTCAAGATGAATTGCTTCTAAAAAGGTGAATGTAAAATTAGCTTAAGGTTTTATGTATTTGGATTGCAGATGTCCTTAACATCTCACTTTCACTTAAAAAAAAAAAAACTAGAAGAGCAGGTGGAAGTCTTAAGAGGGTGATTTATATGAAAGAATCATAGGAAACCCCTTTTAGTGGGGCCCCACATCAAATGATTGGTGAATGGCAATATATTTATACATTAAATTAAAATAAGTGCTTAAAGTATATATGTTTTTTAAATTCTTTGCTTTGATTAACTGTGTTAAACTACCACTACACATCCTAATTGTATTGGCCTAAAGAGGTTTATTCTAATAATTTAAAATGCCTGTGCTTCAGATGTGAAATTGAAACATACATCGGTAAACAGAATGTGTTGCTTACAGATAGACAACATTCAGTATTAAAATATAGTATGTAGAGGAGGCACAGAACATCTGGGACAGTGACAAAAGATTAGGTGTTAGAGTGGTAGTCATAAGCCTTTCTTTGAACTTATTTGAATTATGCTGCTGCCACCATCAAGCTTTCCTTTTGGATAAGTTACTTGATATCTCTGAATTTCAAATTTCTTATTAGTAAATTGAAATGCTATAACTTCATATAAGCTTTTGTGGAAATTAAACAAAAGGACCCATATCAGTGTAGCTACAATAGTACTTAGCAATTAGTAGGCACTTGGTTCTTTCCATTGTTTATGATGGTGGATAACTGATGGGCAATTTTGGTAGAAAACAAAATCCACATTTCTTAAAATAATTGCAAGTCAGAAGAGAGATAAGACAGATGGGAGAAAACTGGGAGGATGGTAGCCTTGTAAACTTTGAAATAATAAATCAGAAGATAAGGCCCGCTTTGATCATATAAAAGTTAAACTTTTATGGTAAGTTTTAAATGCAGACTAGTAAAAGTATTTTTGCTGGTGCAAACAGTGATTTTTGATGGCTTATAAACGTTAGGTCTTTAACAAACAGTTTGACTAAAGGTACAGATAATGCATGCAAAAGATGATAGCAAAGGATGCAGGGAAATAAGGTCACCTTCTGTATCAAGAATACCACTTTCCTCGTTAGTAACTTTTATCTAATTTGGCAGATTTGGAGTCAAACTGTTATTGGCCTCTATAGTTATTAGCAGATAAACTGCCACAATTCCTTTGAGAGTTCCATAGTAAGTTTTTACCTATATTTAAAGTTCAAGAGCTCTTCCTCCTGGAGTCTTGAAGCATATGAAGGAGTTGTTCATAGGCATACTTGAGGAAACTGCTGAGTAGTTTCTGTGGAAAAGAGGAGCGTGACACCCTTTGACAGTTGGGATTGCATTGCACTGAGGCCTAGTCCTTCTCAGAAATGCTTTCTAAAGCTTCCATCTCATTAAATCGACCACCACTACAGTGTGTTTAAATTGTATTGTCATTGAGTTTATTCCACCCTTTGTTCCTTTACCTTGTTGATGCCTCTAGGTCTCAGGATTTTCTATTAAGTGGTGCCAAAAGCAAACCTGGATGATACTGATATTGATACTGAAGCCACAGAAGTTACTCATCTTAGCTGCAAGGCGTTGGTTTACCACCTTTTACTAGTCTAACAGTGACACTATGCAGCTCATTCCATAAAAGTTCTAAACCTTATGTTGGCCTTCAAAATATTTCCTACCTTCAGAATTCTCCAAACTCCTTCTTTGAAATTTCCTATAACAATCACTTTCAAGTCTCTTAAATTTTCTTAGAGCTCTAATCTTCTCTAGGAAGCTCTCTGATTCCTAGTCCTGAGTCTTCCGCATACTGTCTTTACTGCTTTAGTTCCAGGCTACTCTTCTCACTACTGCCACTGAATTGCCTTTAATAGGAGATCTGCCTCCAGCTGCTCATAATGGCCTCTTTCAGAGCCATTCCCGTCACCTAAAGGTGATAAAACGGGGCTTTCCTTTAATAAATTTGAAATTTACATTTTTTCAAATGTTTAATCAAACACTTAGAGAAGTTTCTTGCCAGTAACAAAGTAGACACTTGGTGTCTAAGTTTTTTGGTTTTTTTTTTTTTTTAAAGAATAAATTGGCTTGGTACCTTGTGGAACTCAATGATTGTTTTTACTGAATATCCTAAGGATACCTTTGATCCTCATCTTAGTAAAGCCATTACTTGTGTGCC